ATATTTTTTTTATATTCTTTCATGTTAAACTTAATTAGTAATTTAAATAACTAGTAAATGTTCATTGACTGGCTTCATGCATAATTTTTTTTCTAATTGGTCTAATATTTTTTGAAGTTACTAAACTTGCTGTGAATAAAGATCTGAGTCAAATATTGTGGAAATCCACAGCACAGTTTTCTCTGTGTACATTTTAATACAAGTGAATTATCTTTTATAATGTCCTTTAATTCCTAAAGAGTACAGTAAAATAGTTCAGCTTCATGAAGCAATATCACTGTTCAGGCTGGTGAGCAAAAATAAATAAATAATAAATATATTGAAATATGTTTTTTCAGTCTAGGAAAGCAGGATTATGACTTTTCTTCTTGGAAGCCAAGGTTTAATTAAAGCAATTATTGTTCCCACTACTTCTACATATGCTGTTCTTACGCACGCCCTTGCCAAATGTTAATGAAGTTGATAACCATTTGACAGATGGCCCATTAAGTAAACACTGGCAGCATATGCCTTGCCCCAGAAATTTTTGTAATAGCTACAATTTGGCTAAATATTGACTACAACCCAATATTTGCAAAACACAAAAAACACATAGAAGAAGCAGATTCTAAGCAAAACATTTCTGCCCAGTAATGGCCACAGGTAAAGATCTATAAACTCGAGAAAACAAATAGGTATCTGAAAAGACTGGGGAGTTTTAAACTGTTACACTTTAATGTTTTGGAGAGGATATCTATGCTGCAGTTTCATTGCTGAGTTACATGTAAAAAAAAACAGAAAGCAGTATTTTCGTTCAAACTGTTACTTCTTAGCTCAGCAGTTTTGTTAGCATCACTGTCAATGGAAATACACACTGTTCTCAGCCATTTGTTTGAGTATGTTTCTGTATAGTTTTCATATTTGCTAGCTTCCTTATTAAAATATTTTTGATAAGGAAGCTCATCAAAACAAAAGTTTATCAAAGATGTATTTCTGTTTCACTGTATTTTCAATTCATCTGTAAAAAAATAATCTTTTTTGATCAGCCCACACTTGCAGTCTTTGGCACTGGCATGCACTTAAACCAATTGCATGCCTCATAGTCAATCTTTAAGTAAATAAAACTTCACACACTGACTCCTGGAATGGAAGTGCCAAAGATTATATAATACAACAGATAGAACATCTGTGTTATTATTGTTGCTATAAGATTTAATCAAATTTTCACAGCAAGGGAATGAATTAACTACTTATTCATTCAGTGGGCCTTTTCAGACTGGGTGATGATGTTTTGTTATTTCTTTGTGTAAAATCTGTTTCTTGGTATTCAACAGATTCAGTTGGTTGTTTATATCTGACTGAGTCCTGCAGTCAATCTGTCCTTTTCAGGGACACAACCTTGTCTTTCAGATAAAACCATGACCGTTAAGGAGAAGAGGGTTACAGATGGTCGATACTCAGAGCACGCTGAAAACTCAAATTGATGTGGTCTTTGATTTTTCTCAACTCCTCCATCACTTTGGCAGCCGGCCATTGTAGTAAAATGCTTGTAGACATAGATTTTCGCAAGGCAAAGTTGACAGCCAAAACTCCTACTGCATTTAGTCCTTCAAACACATCGTTACTCATATGTGTGTATCGTATTGATTCATTTAGAAATGCGTTGCTTGCAAAAATATGTGTTGCTTTCTCTTTCTGTTTTCTTTGTTTTACATGTGTAGTAGTGTGCTTGAAAATACAAAAGTGACATCATTTTGAAAAATGTCTTACTTTCTACCTGCAATTGTCTTAAGTTAATTTGATTGCTGCAACAGTTCCTTCATATGCCTGCCTAAAAAGTCCAACAGCTGCAGTGCCATGCTTCTTGCGTTTTCAAGAAAACTAGAAAAGTCGACCCTCGCCCTAAAGTTCTTACACGGCCTCTCTGCAGCTCATAGATTAGACTTTTTTAATACTTCTGTTAGTTTGAAAACCATAATCAAACATGGAGAAGAGCATTCAGTGTTTCTGTTCCTCTAATCTGGAAAACACTTCTTGAATACTGCAAACATGCTGAAACGGTTTGTTAAAATCAATGCTAAAACCCCTTTTGTTTATAATATTAATAAGTGAACATACAATAATTCTCAACATAATTTCAACTTTGCATCATTTTACCAGTGTCATGTAATGTTTTTTGGTTTGCACTTCAAACTGCCTTGTTGAAGAAATGTGTGATGCAAATAAACTTGACAACTTACATATTGCTTGCTGGTTCTGGAAAACCGTTTTAGACTAATCCCCACATGCACCCTTCATTTACGCTAACCCTGCTTGATCATAAGTGGTGAAATGTTGTCTACGCTTTCACTCTGGATACTTTATTATTTTATCTGGTTTGAGAGTTTGATGTCATACTAGGATTTATGACTGGGAGATGCTACAGCAAAAAAAACAAAACAAAAAAACAACAACGCAAGGACAGACGGGAGAAACAAAATGTGATTGATACTGTTTGACTTGCAAACATTTGTGCCAAATATTGCTGTTCTCCCTTCACGTCTCATTACATTATTTGGTGTGATGCTTGTCATAATGACAAAATGGCTGTCACCCTGATATAATGACTCCTGTTATGACAGGAAAAAAAGAAAAAAGAAAGAAAGAAAGAAAGTGTTCTTCTACAGACATTTTGGTGGTTGAGAAAAAAGTCATTAACCTGAGATTTGCTTCCTGGCATTTGCATTACAGAACACACACACACACACACACACACACACACACACACACACACACACACACACACACACGCACACACACACACACTCACACATACACACACGCACACACACACGCACACACCAAATTACGTTGTTAGAAGCACTGAGCCAGAGCCCCATGTTTATAAGCTGAGCTTTTATACAAAACCCTTGAATAAAGTCATGCATGTGCTCATTATATCTGGCAAGCTGTCTGTATTAAATCTGTTGTCATGATGTTTATTTAAGTTAATTGCTGGAGAGAGAGTATATAAATTACATATAGATTTATGTAACAAATAAAATTTGAAAAATCAATTAAAGCAGCATTTGTTTTTATTTTTATATTTATATTTTTGTTTTCGATCTATATGTAAACAAACATCCATATTGTCTTTTTGTTGCTGTTTTTTTTTTTTTTTTGACAGAAGATTAGATACCTCTGCTGGTTTGTGGCAAACTTTTGCAGACAGCTTCTGTCAGCCAGTTAAACAATTTGTTTATTTGAACATATTTCCAGAACACGCATGCCTAATGCAAGTGTGGTGATCGTTTGGTAAATTATAAAATCTAACAAAGGATTTACTTCCTTACAGTAGTCAATAGCTTTATTTGAGCTATTTTCACATTCTCCAACTATTTCCAAGTATGCTGCATATTGTTCAAAATGTTTATGAATAAAAAGTAGAAAAAGGCAACTTGACTACTTGGAGAATGTTGTACTAATGCAAATAACCCTAACTTTAATTATGAAAGAGAGACATATTCACACAGACAACATGCAAAGATATGCAAAGCCCTGATGTAGAGGTAAAGAGAAAGTGAAAGTGATTTTAAAAACTGCTGCAAAGAACACAATGCAAGAGAGAAAGTGAGCGAGAGAGAGAAAGAGAAAGGGAGTGAACACAAGAACATTTGCAACAGTTATTTTCAGTGTCAGTGGATAACGTTCGTCAGGTAAGAAATAACTAAAATTGTTTGATGGAAAGATGAAAATTGGTGGTGTTCCTACAAATTATGCAACACAAAGTCTACTTTTTGAGTTTGCTTTGATTTAGTTGAAAAAGATTTCTGCCGCCTGTATCTTGTTTTGTTTGATCAAATCCAGCTGATTATAATTCTGATCAAGAACAGACGTAATTACAGTCTTAGTGGTTGGTTGGTTGGAGAAGGAAACTTTTGAAGTGTAAACTTTATAAAGTGCTCCGCATTTTAGTTGTTCTCATGAAACTGCCAAAACAAACTGAAGTTCATGTTACACAACTTCAGTTGTGCAAAAGGTATCAAAACAAGTACAGACAAAGTTTAACATGCTCCGATAGTTTATTTAAACAAAACAATAAAATGAATCTAGGTTTTAGTACATTTTAGTGGTGAAATAATCTATGGATGACTTTAAAAGTATGTGCTGTAAGAAATAAAGATGCAAAACAAACAAAAAAACTTTAGCTATAGTCAGGCAGGTTCAGAGAGAGAGAACCAGTGATAACATCCAGGAAGTAGCTTTATGGACTCCTATTAAAAGCCATTACACTTCCTCCATAAAGATATGACTACCTGACCTACTTTAAAGATTTGAGCTTTGCTCATGTCATCCCTATTGGTACCTAAAGTAGAAAAATGGGAAACTTACAAATGTATATCCAAAGTCTGATTTAGTTTTCATAGAAGCATGAAAGAAGGATGAAGGTATGCAAAATTGTAACTGGACACCCACATCAGGTTCCAGTTGTTCCTGTTTCTCTGTTGATATGTGCCAAACAGATTAATCGTCTACCAAAGAAAACAAAGAAGAAAAGGAAAGTATTAGCTTCATCTTTGTGTCCCAACAAAGCATTCAAGTTACTGAGCAACACAAGAGTTTCTCAAACAGTTTTGTAAAATGGAGCTACCAGGTGAACACCCCAGTTTATATGTTAGAGCTACACAACTTCTCTTGGTTACTGTCCAGTTCTGTAAAAAAAAAACACAAGAACAGTATGGTCTGATGAAACCTTCCAGTGGCTTCCTGTGTTTTCTTACGAGTCGCACAGAGGGCGAGGGAGCGTACACAAGACTCTAGGAAATTAATGACACTAAAGAATAAATAGACATAAGAAACATAATTAAACTAGAAACACAAGGAATAATTAGACACAAAAAATAAACATGCTAAACTAGAAAATCTAAGAAAGGACTAAACGAGAGTCAAACAGAAACATGACTGATGTAATCAACAAAACCCAAAACCAGAACCCAAAATCCTGACAATAATCTTGTCTTGCTTGTTTTTTTCAACTTTAGTCACCAGTAGTTAACAAAGATGGGGAAGGAACAAAGTAAACTGGCACAGGAAGGCTACGTGTTAGTAAAAGAAACGGAAAGTGGCATCACTGCAACTAAAGATGACGACACATATTTTATAAAGACGATTCATCTGACAGAGGTAAGACTTCAACACTAAATTAAGTAATAAATTATTCGATGGAAGGAAGCTGCAGATTAAACATAATTTGAAGCTGCTTGATGGTTGATGCAATAAATTTCACTTCTAATTCAATTGAACAGTTGAGTCATTATATCTGTTAACTATCTGTTTGCATATAGCTAAAACACAACATTTAAGATAAGAATATTACATCAGAACATAAATGAAGGAAAACTTGTTTCATGTAGAAATGCTGGCTAGATGTAAAGAATATTTATTATTTACTTAAACCGTCATAGTTTCAAAAGTTTTTTTTTAATCTGACCAACAAGCCTCATCAAAATGCATGATGTAATTCATATGACTATATATTTTCATTTGATGGATGGAGAATATTGTTAGATCAAATCACTATCTTGGAACCATGCTTTGCCTTGCAGCTTACCAGACAAGCTCTTGCTGCACTAATGTCAGAGATTGATGTTCTTCGGCAAACAAACCACCCTCATCTTATAAATATAAGAAATTCGTTGAAAGGTATGTTGTTTTATATGTTTAAACCATATTTTGATGAACATTATATCTTTTTTTTTTTTTGTTACAAATGTTGAAATATGAAAAAGTAGCAAGACAGCCACAAATTGCAAATAGGTTCATGGTTATGGGATATAATTTTCAACTATATGCATGAGTTGATTCTCTGCGGGTTCATCGGCTTTCTCACACAGTCGAAACACGACTGTTAGGTTGGCTAAACTCTCTACACTGCCCTTGTGTATGGCTGTGTGTGTCTGCATGGTTGTTTGTCCTGGATGATGGTGTGTTTTCTTGTGATGAATTGTCAAACTGTCCAGGGTGTACCCCATCTCTCACTAAATGACTGCAAGAGAATGGCACCAGCAAAAGGGCAAGAACAAGAGGGTATATGGAGGGATAGATATAGTAAATTCTTAGAGGAAACTATATGACATTCAAAAATGTATATTTACATGAGCTCTGCAAGCTTTTTGTCTGTCTTAGACTTAAAACATTTCAAAAACGAAAAACCTATAACTCAAAACAGGCTTTGTGAATGACATCATTTTCTGTTAAATTGTCAAGGTTCTTGCTACTTCAACTTTATTTTCTTTGAAAATATATAATTCCACAGATTGGTTTGTATTTTGTACACATTTGACCGTACAGCCTTGTACAGAAGACTAAGGAATGTTTTTTGCAAAGATTTTACAATCAGAGCTCACAATACAGCAGAATATGACTTTTTCATAGTTTAACATTTCTTGGATACTAACTAATCCATCTTGCTATTACCCAGCAAGATTTTAAAGAAAGAAGCTATACAACAACTTAGTGTGGCATCCTTGATTATGAAAAATAGCTAAACTAAAAATACTTGTGTGTGTCATAAAGATGAAAATCAAAACATCTACTACATAATAATGAAGGAGTGCCAGGGTGGGAGTCTTGCTGATGTTGTTGGAAAGAATCCAGAAGAGTTGCCTCAAGAGCCCGAGGTACACTAAATACATTTTAAGACACCTTTTATTGATATTCTGACACAATTCAGATTTTTGATGCCAATAAAAAGGGAATCCGTGCCTTTTTTATTTGCTGTCTGTTTCTTAGGTACTAAGCTGGATAGTTGAGATCTGCATGGCTCTCAAAGCCATTCATGAGGCGCATTTGCTTCACAAAGATTTGATTCCAAAGGTACCTCACATATTACACAGCCAAAGGCTATTACACAAAGCCTGCATTTTAATTTTGCATTTTAATATTAAAAGAATACCTCACAAGTTATCTTATATTCTCAATATAATGATGTTGTAATGGAATGACAAGACATTGAACATAATCTTTTGAAATACTCAAAATGTTTACCCTTCTTTGACTTTTTCTGTTTTCTATAGAACATATTGTTGTCAGAGTTTGGACTGGTGCGTTTGGGTGGATTTGGAAATATTAATGACAGGTAATATTATTCTCATAATCTACAATCTGCCAACACCTACCTCTGGTTTTACAATAATTGTAGCAATCCTTGGATGTTTTCATTGAACATCCGACTGTTCATGTTTATTCTACCTCTATGGAGTCACAAAATACTAATGACATGTTGCACTGCGAAATAGGAATTTGTAGTTTTTTTGTCAGCTTGTTTTCAAAGAAGAAATTTTAAATGTGAATTCTGTATTTTATATGTTTTTCTCTTAGTTCAAAAGGCCAATCTGCCACAAACTCAAATCCAGCAATAAATTACCTAGCTCCTGAAGTCTTCACGGGGGGAACATATGATGCAAAAAGGTACGTTTTTTTTACAGCAATATTAAATTTGTTAAGGTTGCATTTTGGTGTTTTATAAAGTTTGCAAATAGTCACATCACGTTTTTGTTCATTTTTAAAAATATATTAAATAACCATTTTGGCTTGTAGGTTTTTATAGGCATTTGATAATTTTCCCTTAATATACCTTGTTGTAGATTATGCATTTCTTTTGTTCAGGCTATAAGAGTTGTTGGCTAATTTCATTCAAATAGGCCTGTTACTACAAGAAATAGAAGCTGAAAAGTACATTATATAGATCAGAAATATGTCACTAACACAACTGGATATAAAAAAAAAATAAGGATAATCATCTTATGAAACTTTGGGAGTTTGGTCCGTTATGGTAAATGGTAAAATGATCTGTACTTGTAAAGCACTTTATTAAGTTCAGAGAACGTCAAAGCGCTTCATACTACAATCACACACTAGTGCTGGTAAGATACTACATTGTGGCCACAGCTATCATTTGCAGCAATCCCATTTGCTATTGGTAATATGTGTTTAGTTTGAGTTAACTTGAAAACATAAAAGAAAATGCCATTTCTCCACCATTGAATTAAATTGATGTAAAATTGGCTCATCCTATTTTCATATAAATACATAAATAATCTGCATTAAATAATTATAGTTTTTTTTGTTTTAATAAACCAATCAGAAGAAAAACAGAACATATTGCACAATCTCCACTCATATGTTATAAACACAAAGTCAGATGTGTAGTCACCTCAACAGTAGATTTATGATATTAAATATTTTGAATTTTTTTTTCTCATGTTTGTCTTGTATTTTTTAGTGACATCTGGTCACTGGGATGCATACTCTATGAGCTCTGCACAAAACAGAAAGCAGTAAGTTAATAACACTGACTTGAAATATGTAAACAAAACAATGTCTGCCTAGTTTTGAGTGAAAGTCAGCATGAAATGGATTTTTTGTATTTTTTTTTTTATTTTTACTAGTGGATACATTTTATGCAGTGACAAAAAAAAAACAATTTTATGTTGAAAGTTGTAAAACCTTGCCTAGTATTGAATTTTTGCTTTTCAGTTCTTTGCAGAGACTACAATCAAGCTCATGCCCAAGATAATTAGTGGTCATTACCCGTCTCTTCCAAGCCATTTTTCATTTGAGCTTTGTGATCTCTTGAGTGACCTTCTGAAAAAAGAGCCTGAAGAAAGACCAACAGCCAGTGAGATCCTGCAGCGCCCTATCATTATCAGGTGTCTTAGAACTAAGGTATGATATTTCCATTTTTCCCATTATTGCAGTGTAGTCTAGGGGTGCCCAAGTGAAGTTCAGAAACATGTTCAGAAACATCTCTGCATCTAGACTCTGCTGAGGCCTGGTAACAAGCAGTCCATTTGATCCAGGTGTGTTAGAAAAGAGACGCATGGGGTGTGAGGTAGTGCATAGAGGGCAGCGTCATCAGCAAGTTGCTCTCATCTTAGGTGTGCTTTCTTTTCTTTCTTTTTGTGTGGTTTCAGAAACTAGCTGTGCTTGTTTTTTACTTGTTATTTTAGTGTCAAACAACTGTGGAGGATCTTCAGATGAAGAAGCTGGAGAGGCTGAGAGCTCTGGCAGATGGTCTGGAGCGAGTTCATGAAGGTGCTACCATCGGCAGCCTGACAGGAGGAGTGATTGGAGCCGTGGGAGGAATTACGTCCATAGTGGGGCTTGTTCTGGCACCCTTCACTTTAGGAGCCTCACTTATTGTCACTGGAGTTGGTGTGGGGGTGGGTGCTGTTGGTGGGGTCACTGCTGGTGCCTCAAATATCACAAATATGATCAACCAGTCTTCTGATCGTAAAGCAGTTCGCAATATCATTAAAGAAATAGAACAGAAAATTAGTGCAGTGGTAACGTGGCTCTTGGAGATTAACAGTAGTCTGCAGGCCATCAGCAGCCAGTTTCCACAAACACCTGGCACAGATAACAAATTTACAGAGGACAACTTGAGGAGGATTGGCATGAGGGCTGGAAAAGGGCTTGGTGGCATTGCTGAACTGGTCCGGTTGGTTAGAGTGGCTAACATTGGCCAGCTTGCTGCACAAACATCAAGGGCAGTGCGCGTGGCAGAAGTGGCAACAGGTGTGCTCTCTGGTTTGTTTGTAGCTGTGGATATTTTCTTCATCGCTATGGATGCAAAAGAGATTCAGCACATCAAGGAAGCCAGGGAAGCAGAGAAGCGAATTGAACCTCCTTCTGCTTCCGAGTCTGAAACTGGAGACTCAGTGTCAGTCTCTGATCAGGCAACACTGTTGTCAAACTCACTGATGCAAGAGTCTGACAACGGTGAAAGTGGCCGTGTGGCAGAGGAGGCGGCTTCTCCACCAACTAAAACCAAATCTGAGATCATGAAATTTGTCAAATCAGTCAGGGAGGCAGCACACAACCTGGAGCAAGTCCTGGGTGAGTTAGCCAGCATCATTTCATCTATCCCTTTGTTTCAGGAAGATAATGATCTGGAATGGCAGAATATGGAATTGATGTAAGAGAAATCACAGCTTTAAAATGTGCCAATTCTGTTCAAATTACATTTGTTCTATTGTACAGCAACACATCTAATTTGGGTGTAAGGAAATGTGGCATAATTGGTAATTAATTAATATTATTTTATCCTCAACAGAATTTCTCCTCCTTTAAGTCTTCAAACTTCTGAGAACTGAAATTTATGCCTTAGATTTTCTTTTACAAGTATTACTGGATTATGTTGAAATTTTCAAAAGAAACTAATCAATGATTTTTGTTTAATATTATTAGCAAACCATGTTTTCAAATATTATCACTGTTTCTATGTTTGTTTGAAAATGTGAATATTCTAATGTGATTCTAATCAAATATTTACATATGTAGTATATAAAATATACAAATACATATTTTTGGGTGCAAGAATAATTATTAATAGTTTAACATTCACTGTTTGGACGATATTGAAGAAAATAAAGATAAGTCTAAAAATTTTGTATAAATGTCTTGTACTATGTGCTGTTGCTTTTGGAATTTTATATAATTATTTGTCATAAGGCTCGAGGTCCAAGCATGTTTTCCAGGTTGGTCTTATATTCTCAAGCTGTGGTACAACTGGTGGTTTTCTTACAGACAGAGCTGCCTACTCTTATTATCCTGAAATGTATGGTATCAAAAGTACCATGCTGGAGCTTGTTTAAACCAGACATTTGCATTTGCCAAGAAGTTAATCCTCACTCAAATTGCATGCAGAGTGTAAATTTCCATATTTTTATACAGATTCTCAATTGAATTTAGCCACATTCAAGTCTTTTGCAACATTGTACAGGTTCTCTTACAAGATTTTGCATCATACACCTTCCCATCTACTGTGACCAGCTTCCTGTAAAAAGTATCCCATTACCCCTCTGTTTCATGATGGAGATTTTTATTTTTAGGGTGTTAATTTTCTGTCACTCAAAGCACATGCAGGGCATGTTAATAGTCACACAGTTGTTATATGTGTTAATTCTGATAGTATAATTATGCAGGTATTTGTTTAACTGTTTTAATTTCATGTGCATGATTTTTATTTAAATGTTGTTTTTACTGCATGCGCAATAAAACATCATAGTTTTAAATTACTTATAGTCCACTGTGGATATTTTGACCTGGACAAATTGTTGCTTGATAACGGTCACCTGTGGAGTTGTGGGTGTGCCTGGAAGTGGCCTATAAGCTGTTTCCTAGACCTGCTAGTGAAGTTGGCTGAACATCTGAAAGGTGGAGATCTCACACTGCAGTAGAAAGGGAACATATAGCAGCCTGAAGCAATGAAAAGACAGTTTGTTTGATCGCCAGATGCAGACGACTGATTGGCATGATTTGCTGTTCCCTTCCTGCAGCAGAAAAAAATACAATCAGTGGAACCCAACATGTTAACAGCAGAGCAGAGATGAAAACAGGTGAATTCTGTTTTCCACTGACATCTGCAGGGTTTGGCCTCATAGGTTGCAGAGGAGATTGGCTGGCTCTCTGGACATTGCTTCTGGCCAGGACCTGTTTTTGTTTACAGGTAGGGACACAATGGAGCCCATTGATGAGTGAGAGCTGCATGTCGTGGATCTCAGCTGTACTGTGGTGTGACAGAGTCAATAAGCACGGCTGCAGGAATAGATCTAAGAGGTTTCATCTTCTCCTGAATTGAACTGACATGGTTGAAGCTTCTTAAGAATAATTTTTAACTGAAAACAAGAAAACAATCTAATCCCGGATTGTGATGACATTTTATAAAGTTGTTTTAAGTTTAATTTTTAAATAAAACACTTCTTTAACTATTGAAATATATCAACGATTGTCTACAATATGCCTCTGGAAGGCCTCTAAGATAAGCATAAATAAGTAAACATATTAAATATTCCAAATAAAGTCACATATTAATTAATCCATTATACAGACTGGTCTGGAGGGACAAAGAAACTGGAGTAATTATGTTTCTTCAAAGCAGTGAAGGCAGCATATGAACAGCTTTCCATATTTTGCTTTTCTATGCTTAACCATCTCTTGTGTACCAAGGTGCATTCAAGAGTCCATACAGAATCATACACATTTATAAGACATTACATATTTTCTAAATATGAAGTCTTACGGTTTCTGCTACATGTTTAAGTGGCTCAAAGCTGCAGTAAAAAGAACAAAGTAGTTAAATGACCAACGCATGTTTAACTGGAATATGAAAATGAAACTACTTTCAACTTCTATGAAATTGTCAAGTTTGTATTAATTAGCAGCTAAATCTTAATATCTGTTGGGTTAATAATCCGACACCCCTGAGTCATCACAGCTGTTCTATTTACTGCTACTGATTAATATGCACTGACATTTGTGTTTTTCAATTCCTGTTAAGGAGAACAGGCACTGAATAATGAACATAAATTAGAATTTAAAACTAGTCTAAATGCTGTAGTGTGGTAAGTAATAGTACACTGTTACAAGTGGCTGATGGCCATAACAAAAACAGGAGACCACGGCACGAGTAAAGGTGCATAATGGAAACATTTATTAAAAGATTAAATTAAAAAAACTACAATGGAACATGAATGTCAGTGTTAGTGGTGTATTGCCATTGCTTGAATGTGTTGCATTTATACATATTTGAGTGTTAAAATGTGCACGTTAACGAGCCAGAAAGTGTGGACACAGAGAGAAGTAGCACAAGAGCAGATGCACACAAACACCTTTTGCCCATTTCATTCGGTCGGTGGGCAATATTATTCACCTCTTCACATCAAACAAGAAAGAAAGGCAGTGTTATTTTCATTTAATGTTGTTGTCCATTCTAGTAAAGCTTTGTGAAAAAATATTTTACTAACTTGATTAATTCACTGCATCTTTGTTCATCAGAAAATGTAAGCTCTGCAGAATAAATTGATAATTGGATTACAGTCCATGATGAGATGGGATGTATTTCAAACCTGTTTTTAGGTACCACTTTAATCAAGAGTGTTTTTCTTATGATTCAAGTTTGTTTACAGTATAGTTGTGTCCCTGTGTGCATATCGACAAACTTTAAGATTGATTTGGATTTAAAAGGGATACATTTATTATCAATTCATCAGTTGTTCATTGAGATATGCATTTTGCATGTAGTGCATATATGCTCTAGATAGATAGATAGATAGATAGATAGATAGATAGATAGATAGATAGATAGATAGATAGATAGATAGATAGATAGATAGATAGATAGATAGATAGATAGATAGATAGATAGATAGATAGATAGATAGATAGATAGATAGATAGATAGATAGATAGATAGATAGATAGATAGATAGATAGATAGATAGGATAGATAGATAGATAGATAGATAGATAGATAGATAGATAGATAGATAGATAGATAGATAGATAGATAGATAGATAGATAGATAGATAGATAGATAGATAGATAGATAGATAGATAGATAGATAGATAGATAGATAGATAGATAGATAGATAGATAGATAGATAGATAGATAGATAGATAGATAGATAGATAGATAGATAGATAGATAGATAGATAGATAGATAGATAGATAGATAGATAGATAGATAGATAGATGTTTATGACTGATTTTTCAAATACTCAGTGGAAAAATACACAATTAAACAATTATTTTTGACACAGTAATGTTGGACATACTAGTAAAATGTGGCTCAAATCATAATGAATTGTAAACAAATATGCCTGATCTATGCACAGCCTGAGTGTGAAGAGTTGCTATGATTTACAATCTGAGATGCAGAATACATTATTCATTACACAGCCTCTCACGCCTTCTAAAGACAACACAGTATGTTTGTAATGTGTGTTAAAGAGCTTCTAATTATATGTAATCAGGCTGAAATGAGAAGATTAGTGTCAGTAAAGTGTGATGTGAGAAATAAAGAAGGTATGATAGCTTGCCTGCTATATTTGATATATGTTATAGTGTATGAAAAAAAATTATGCCAATGGCTCCCTTGATTGCAACAACCAATGAAATGCGTAAAAGGGGGTGGTATTTGAGATATATAAAATAGTATATTACATGATAAATTTGAGCATTTCAAGTTTATTTTTCAACACAAAATGTCATGACAGATGCTTGAAAATGCAAAAGACAATCCACATAACCACAAAATATATAAACAAACTTATACAGGTGAAGTCTTTAGATTATCTGTTCTCCATCCCAGTTACAGAGTTGCTTTTCCTTATTTTACCATTGGTTTTACTCACTACCATTCCCTGGCTTATGTATTATACCACCCTGTGTATGTTCAGAGCCCCTTGTGTTGTTTTGAAGCTAGTAGTTGCTGATAAGCTTCCAACATGCCACCCCTGGCTGTGTTTCATTTTTTTCCCGTTCTTTCAGTTTTTCTCTCATCTCTCTTCTCTCGGGAATCATTTGTTTCCCCTCAGAAAGTGCCAAAGACAAGAGAAAGGCGTCTTTACAGGTGGCCACAGGAGATAGGGATTAGATTTCACACTTTGTGCTTTTGTTTGTTCACGTGCAGAAACTTATTTTGCTGTGTGTGATAAAGAAAATACAGAAGATTGAAATCAGTGCCCCTAGAAGAGTTTATCACTCCCTTCAAATCTGGCCAGCACACAGGAAAGTCATCTTGCATAACAGATCGGCTCTTAAGCTCTCGCTTAGTCTGGTGTTCTTTCTCCTCATATCCTGATAACTTGAACATTAGTTGAGGTTTTTGCCAGTCAACAATGTTAGAAAAATCAATTCAGTCAGCATTTCTCCCACGCTCCATTTTTTATTTATTTTTTGTCTGTATCTTTGATCCTAGAGCTTGATGGGTGTAATCTTAATCCAACTCTTCTATAAAATACTATAACCTCCACTTCTAGTCACACATACATACATTAAGAAACGTGATATTTCTTAGAATATCACGTTCTAATACGTGTTATTCTACATGTTGCTGCTTCCCACCTGTTTCTTTGTCTAGTCCTTTCTGTCAGTGTAATGTTTGTCTTCTTATAATTATCATTGCCTGTCCAATAGCTGATACTGAAGCTCCTTGACCTGGGGCTTTTAACGTCAATGAAAGTATTGATTTCTGTAATCAGTGTTTCAGAAATCATGTTATAAATCTCTTTTGTAACTTAAACAACATTGAGTAACCTCAGGGAGAAACTGTTCTCAACCCTCAACAATCAATAGAAACAACAGTCATCAAGTTCCAGTTTAAGCAAGTTATTGAGAGTGTGAATAAAACTGAACTCTGTAATTCAAGGATCTATAGTTTTATTCATATTCAGCAAAAAAAAAAGGGGGGGAAAAGAAACTACCAAGGAATGAATATGCTTCAGTGAAAATGGGTGGAAGATTGTTTTTCAAAGCTGCTCTCCAAATTAAATGCAGTAATTTTACAAATAGCTAATTGTATCACATCATTTTTTTCCTGAGATCTAACCAGGAGACTTTGATTAAATACCTTCAGATTTTACACTAGTCCTTTTGTGCATGGCCAAATAGTTTCTTCACTGACTATTTTGGTATTATTCATTTGTGATGATCAAAGCATTGATGCTTTGATAGTTGATGACTGAGAACAGAAGTTTGGCCATAAAAATAACTGCTACCAAAAAAAAAAAAAAAAGATTTTTATGGAAATATCTTCCACCCATTTCTGCCAAGGAATTACAACTTATTACAACAAAAAAAAAAAGACAAACAATACTTTTCTATTTACTTTGTCTTTAAATTCCAGGCTGTTTTATCATGTCACGAGTCATTCTGTGAGAAAATGTGACAGTTCTTCAGTTTACCCTGTTGGCTGTTTATTTATACACCGTTTAAATTTAATTGTACCCAAATGAGAAGAGAACACACCATGACACTTGATGTCCCCCCTGGGCTTGTTTTTCTGATGACAAGGACTTCACAGGGGAAAACGTGACATATCCAGAAAGCGATTACTGGATTAGCTCCATCCAATTTTCCACATGTTTTAGCACATGCGCTGATCTTATTCCTGAACTGGTTGACAAATTTTTGTCACACTGAGGTCATCTTAATGGATGACCTGAAGCTCAGATGTGTGTGACCAAACAAAAACAGGTGTGTAATGACAAAAACTGATATCTTAGATGATGGC